GAGACATGCTGAGGGCCTGAAAAAGGAAGCCTACAGCTAAGTATGGTCCAAGGGTCACAGGATCACAAAGAAGGGAGCCGTCTTGGTTAGTGTTCTCTTATTGCTAGACAAAATACCTGATGCCTCAAATGAAGGAAGTAAATGTTTATTTAGCATCTCCTTAGCCCTGATGGACTGACTGGCTAATGAAGTTAGGATCTTCCTAATTTAATCACCTTCAAAACCTATCAGAGGGCCGAGGATATAGCTCAGTGTCCAAAAACCCATCAGCTAGCAAACAAGCCCCCAGCACATAGCCTTTGGCCGACATTCCAAGTACAAGCCACAACAAAGTCCTCTTGTTTCTTGGGACCTGTGACAATAAACTCCTTCTTCATGAAAGTTATTTGGGTTTACGTGTCTCATAGCTCACTAAAATAATTCCCAGCTGGGCATGGTGGCACACATCTGTAATTTCAGCACTACAGAGGCTGAGGCAGGAGGATCTCTGTACATCTGAGGCTAGCCTGGGCTACATAGTGAGTTTAAAACCAGCCTGAATTACAGTGAGACCCTGTCTCAAAAATCAAAATAATAAAATAAATAAAATACCAGTACATTTTAATAACCATGAAACTTGTGCCCATCCAAGGGTGGGGCCAACCCTATAGAGAGGCCCTGTCTGTCTATTGAAAGCAGCATCAAGTTGGGTACCTGAAAGGATACAGAAAGTGCTTTCTATTTAGATTTTCTTTTTTTAACGTATTTAGTACAGGGACTACAGGGCCTCACTACATAGATCAGACTCATAATGATCCTCCTGTTTTCGGCCTCCCAAGTGCTGGGATTACAGTCCTGTGCCACCATGCCCAGTCTCAATTGCACACCCCGGGGGCAGGGCCAGCAGGGGCCTACCACACCAGGGATCAAACCCTGGTCCTTGTATCTGCCCAAGCAGACACTTTAATCCTCTGAGCTATCTGGCTGGCCCTCTAATTGGGTTTGTCCAAAAATATTTACGGTTTTGAACCTTGTTCTGTTGTAACCAATCTGGCTTCTAAAAAATGTTTTCAAAGTGGGTGTGGTGGTGCACAATTGTAGGCAAGGTAGAACAACTGCCATGAGTTTGAGGCCAACTGGACTACACAGTGAGTTCAAGGCCAGCCTGAACTACATAATGAAACTTCATTTCAAAAAAAAAAAAAAAAAACAAAACCAAAAACTCTTTTCAATAGAACATCCTCTCATCCCAAAACTTCTTTCCTTTTCCAAGTCCTCTAACAGCTCATTCTTTTTTGTATTCAAATTGTTTATTTATTTATTTATTTATTTATTGCAGTACTGGTGATTGAACTCAGGACTTTGTACTTGCCAGGCAGGTATTTATGCTGCTGAGCTATCTCCCTAGCCTTGAATTCAAATTTTTAAAGAGAAGCCTCCTTAAACAGCCCCCCTTCAGCTAAAATAGATGAACTTGCAAAAATATAGCCCCAATTGTTTGAAAAAAAAAATGCAAGTGCTGCTGTCAAGGTTTCCAGGTTGGGGAAATAGCTCAGCAGTCAAGTGCCTGGCAAGTGCAAGGACTGGAGTTCATTCCCCGGTACCACATGTTGTACGGGGGTCCCTACAGCACTGGGGAGGCTGAGACAGGAGGATCACTACAAGTCTGAACTGTGTAGGGAGACTCTGTAACAAATAAATAATTAATTTTTTTAAAAAAAGATTTGGTTTCCTTTTTACAAGGGAGATGGAGGAATCAAACATGGCTAAGAAGAGATCATCCATGGCTGAGAAAGACTCCAGGACTTTTCTCTATGGTCTCACTGGTCCCCCACTCTTCCTAACAGTAAAAAGCTTGAGCACAGGGAGACAGATTGAAAGAAGCATGAAGCCTTCTGGTATCAGCCAAGTTTGAACACACCTTTTTTTTCTCTCTTGCTAAAAATATCTCCAGGGCCAGAGAAATAGCTCAATAGAATAAGTGCTTGCCTGGCAAGCGCAAGGGCCTGAGTTCAATCTCCAGTTCTGCCAAAAAATAAATAAATAAAAAATAAAATTAAAATGTCTCCAGTGTTCTTGGGGGATGCATCCTGTTGCCCCTTAACCTCAGGAACATTGTCCAGTTGAACCCAAGGCTGAAGGTACCCAGAAAGCAGGAGGATTCCAAGAAGGAAGTGTCTCAAACTATCCTCAGATTGTGGTTCCAAAGGAAGATCTTTTATATACAGGTTAGTCAGAAAATTGATAGGTTAAAAAAAAGAAAAAGAAGGGGCTAGGGAGATGGCTCAGTAGAATAAGCACTTCCCTGGCAAACATAAGGGCCTGAGTTCAATCCCCAGTTCCACCAAAAAAGAAAAAGAAAAAACTAATAGGTAATCAGACAGGGATCAGGCCCTAGAGGGAGTCAGTGCTGAACATGACACATATCAAAATTGTGGCTGGAGTCTCTGGGTTTGAGCCTTCTCTCGCCAACATGGCTAAGTGGTTGGCGTTGTCGGTAAATATGGGACTCACTGTGGTGCCTCACTCTGGAAAATGGTGAAGAAGATTGAAATCAGCCAGCACGCCAAGTATACCTGTTCCTTCTGTGGTAAGAGCAAGATGAAGAGGAGGGCTGTGTGGATCTGGCACTGTGGTTCCTGCATGAAAACCGTGGCTGGTGGCGCCTAGACCTACAATACCACTTCCATGGTCACAGTCAAGTCAGCCATCAGAAGACTGAGGGAATTGAAAGACCAGTAGAAGTTCTTACTATAGACATCCCTAGCCTATAATAAATGGGTTAATTTATGTAATGAAAAAAAAATGTGGCTGGAGGTGAATCTGAAGACAGTTAGGCTCAAGATAGGGATGGAAAAGCCAGGCCTACCAGCCTTCCTAGAAATGAACAGCAGCTTGAGATTATGCAGTAATTAGCATTACCTGGCCCACTGAACCAAGATGGAGCATCTAAGTGTGTGACCAGAACATCCAGATCCGTAGTCCATTGTCTTTGTTCTATATTAGCAATTGTAGATAGACTAAAAGTATTGATTTTAAGGCCAGCCAGATAGCTCAGCGGACTTAAGCACCAGCTTAGGCAGGTGCAGGCCCCACCCCCAGGGCAAGCTGAGATGGCGACTGAGACTGGGCAAGGTGGTGCATGCCTATAATCTCAGCACTTGGGAGGCTGAAAACAGGAGGATCAATGAGTCTGATCTGTATAGTGGGACCCTGTAGATCCTGTATTAAATACATAAAAAATAAAGTAAAATTAATGATACTTTCTATATACAGTACCCTTGCTTCCTGCCTCACTTTTCTGTAGATCAATATTAGGTAAGCAACTACACTTGTAATCATATAGATTGAGTGTAGGTTGACCCATATATCCATGTTTCGATTTTGCTGTACAAAATATTCTTGGACAAAGAGGCCCAGCAGCAATCCACTTTTGAGACCCTCTCATGTCTCTATGAAGGTTTCTTTCAGTTTTCCTACTCCCAACCTCCTTTTTACTAGAAATTCATTCTGCAATGTCATTTACTCGGCACATCTGATGTCGAATAGGTTGGACGTTATTTCTCACATTAGGACCCGTGGGCGGCCCCAGTTCTGGGCAGATAGTGTATATGAGTCTAGTTTTGAAGCCTTCTGAGAGCCGACAGCCAGCACCTTTTTTTTTTTCCATAATTTTATTGAGAAACAAATAGCAATGAGACAGTTTCAAATCAAATTGGTAGGACAGTTCCAATAATTAACACATTGCATACTCTCTTCCTAGTGGTTATTTGCTGCACAAGATGCAGACATGATATCCTATTTACAAACACCATTAGAACAAATCCCTCTATTCATTAAGAGAATGTAACTATATATCCTAACCATTTTGAATACACAGATACAAAATGGACATTCATCTGTGTATCCCCTTTTTTGTTTAGTTCCATCATTTGAATATTATAGGTGTGTCAACTCGGCAAAATATTCTAAGAGTCCAGTAGTCCATAATAGTATTGAGTCTTCTACATGACTGGCAATGTTAGAAATTGATGACAAGAGTCCCCTACAGCTCAACATAACACCATGGCTTTACTTCTTATACTTCATTTTTATATTTTTCTGCTGGATGGTTAAGACCAAGATAAAGCAAGAACTATGCAACAAAAGTTGTAGCTTTTGGGTCTCATAAGGTCAGTGAAATCCCCTCAGGATTTATCCTGAGATCCTGTACCTCAGATTGTAGATCCTTTGTCAGTGTCGTCCTGTGGATGAATCTCAGCCATTGCTTGGCCAATGTGCTCTCTGTGAAAGCCTGAGAGAACATTTTCCCTCCATGTGACTATCCTTAGGCACACTCTACATCATTGATCACTTTCTTCTTTGGCCTCATAATCTCCTTGATCAGAAAATTTGGGACACTACTGAGTTACATGACATTACAGTACAAGTTCTCATATGTCCTGAGTCTTAATTGACCTTGGAAAGCTAGGGCCAAAATGTTGGCTTTCCTTGCAGCCCTCCAACCAGCCAGCACCTTTTGAGGACTGGAGCCATATGCGGCGTTCATGGGGCCCGAATTGGGAAGGCTCCCCAACGCCACGAGGGGCGCGGCTCCTATAGCTTTTTTCAGAGAGCGTGAGGGAAGCCAAGAAGGCAAGGAAGAACCTACCATTCTCTGCAGGGTCCGCGGAGTACCAGCGCCAGGCCACGCCCATCACCACCAGGCCACGCCCTCCGCGGCCACGCCACGCCCACCCGGGAGTCTCAGACCGTCCTCCTTGGTACTCTGGCCCACTCCATCCCCAAACTGCGAGCCTGGCCTCCTTGTCTCGAGCTTTAAGGTCTCCTCTGGGCTCTGGCTCTTCCATATTCACCCCGCCCGGGAGGCGTGGCTGAGAACCACTGAGAAGGCCGGCCTCCGAGTGGACCAGAACGGCCGGAAGTCTGCGGGGCAGGGCGGGCGTCCGAGGCCAGTTTCCGGCGGCGTCGCGCATTGCGGAGCTCCGGCGGGCCTCAGGCTGGCCACTGGGAGGGTGAGTCGGCTGGGTGGGCTTGGTCTTGCGCTCCCCGCCCTCAGGCAGAGTGGCCCGTGGCGTCTACAGCCGGGAGCGCAGATGGCGCGGGCGGCTCGGAGCCGCCGTGAGCGCCCGGCGGAGGACCCGGTCGGGCAGCGGCCCCGGTCAGCATCGGCGGATGGAAGGAATTGAATGGTCGGGCATTGCGGCTCCTCCTCCCGCAGTCTCCGGTCTCGGACCTGAGCAAGGCGAGCTCTACCTGCGGCCTTTTTTAGGCCTGGTCATACTCCGGGGGTCCCTTTTTCACCCCTACATAATCACTTTCTATGCCCGTCTTTTCTTCTCAATTTTCTGCCCCTGGAAGGCCTAGAATCGGCCACAGTTGCAAAAACGGCGGCCTATGCGGTTGGTCTTTCGAATTCTAGCCGCCTCCGGCACCTGCCTTCCTCTGTAGCGGACAAGGTCCAGCCCTGGCAGCTGCCTTCTTGTTTTTCAGGCTAAGGATGGGATCTTTCTTCAGAGGTCACTGGTGCTTACACAGGCCAGCCTCCCTGTGTAAGGAGTCGCTGGGGTCGCTGTCTGTGTCACAAACTCACTAAGGAAGCTGGTTGCTTCCCATTCGGACCTCCAGGGGGATGCCTAGGGCTGGTGGATGATCTTCACTGGGCTGCATTCGTTGGCTGATCCCAGCCGGGTGACAGACCAGCTGTAGCTGGAGGTATTTAGTACCCGGGAGTAGGATTCCCACCTCAGGTCAGACACTTGGCTTTTGCAGCCCGTGCCTGTGTCCTGTCTGCTCTGGATTCAGTCACTCCCTCCGCTTCCTGCCCGTGGTCCACGTACACTGGCTCACTTAGCTCTGTCTTCCTCAGGCCCCTCCAGCCTGTTTCTGCTACCTGTAGTGCTCTGCCCACCAGGGTCACCTTGGTGTAGGACCCTAGGGAAAAGACTTTGTGAAACTCAGCTATCTAGTTTAAATGCTTCTTAAATACCCTCAGCACTATCATCACTGTAATCTGTGGATATTTGACTCTTCCCTCCGCTAGACTGCGCCCTGAAGGATGGAGCCTTCATTGTTGCCTTTCCACTACTTAGTTGAGTGTGTGGCGCAGCCCTCCCCCCTCCTACCCCCCCCCCCGTGTTTCTGGAGTGATTCACACATCATATACAGATTGAAGGATGAACAAGGCTTTAAGGGACAGATAACTCGAGTACCAGAACTGTTTCAGCCGACTTCCCTGTCATTGAAAAGCAGAAATATCTATCTGGGGTGGGAGCAGGGAATGCCATGCCCCCTTAATTATGCTGGAAGATAGACATCTCCTAGCACTCTGACCTCTGACCCATTTCATAATTTCCAACAGGTTCCTCAGCCAGGACAAGTGGAGGCCTTCCCCTGGAACTGATGGTAGGGAGCCTGCCTGCTTCCATTCCTTCAAGTGTCCCATGAAGCTGAAACCTTGGACATTGGACCTGTGCCCAGTCCCAGCTTTGGGTCTCATTGTGGCCTGTGCCAGGCTCAGGAAGGCCCCTTTGTTCCCATCCCCTAGGTAGTGAGCAAACCTCTGTCCAGACCAAGGCCCATCTGAGGCTCTTCAGGTGTATTAAGGTCACTGTTGTCTGGGTCCCTTCTCCCCTAAACAGTTCCCCTTTCCTAGGACTTTAAAGCGAGAGGGGCCAGATGACTTGACCACCAATCCCAAGGTGCACCTGTCTGAGAAATGCCATGATGTGGCACTAACATGCGGCTGTCAACCAGGGATCCCTGGGGGACTGGTGTATGTCCTTTCAGGAGGCGGTAACATTTGGTGATGTGGCTGTGCACTTTTCCCGGGAGGAGTGGCAGTGCCTGGACTCTGGCCAGAGGGCCCTCTACAGAGAGGTGATGCTGGAGAACCACAGCAGTGTTGCTGGACTAGGTGAGGCTGCCCCTGGAAGCCCTGTCCTGCGTGCCATCCGTTATTACACAGCATACTCATCGAGACTGGGGACGTTGAGGCTGAGTACTCAGTCCCTGGTGGGTTAGACAGCAGCCTTGAGGCTGTTTAGTGAGTCAGACTGGCTCCAGACTTTGTGAAGGAACTCACTTCCCACAAGCTAGGTGAAATCCTAGGAGCTAATAAACCTTCCTTTTTTCCTAAGTTCAGTATGTGAGAACTATATGCAGATCAGAAGTGCTTTACAAAAATTGGCTTGAGAAATCCATGGAAGTTGTAAACTGAGAGCAGAGGTGGCATCAATGCCCTAGGAATGTTTTTGCAGGTGCCATCAGGTGTCCCTTTCTTCTTCCTGTCCTGCTCAGTCTTCCTCTTACAGCCCACTGCCAAGCACACTTCATATCCATCTTTGTGTTTGTGTCCTTGAAACATGGTCCTCTTGTTGGGTTTTAGCATTGTGAAGGGAATGTGGATCCAACTTGCTCCTTTTTGTGCCTCTTGGTTGTTACCAAGTCCTTTATTGTATTGGGTCCAAGTCTGAACAAGCCCTACAACATAAGGACATTCTGGTCCTTTCAGAGAGTTCCTAGGTGAGGGGAGGAGCAGTGGGCTGGATGGAGTATAGCTGGTTGACTAGTGTTTCTCAGAGTGCTGGACCAAGCCTGCACCCTGCCAGTCTGCCAAAATCTAGCTTTCAGATATTTTGCATGAATAGTTGTTTCTCCATAATTATCTAAATAATCTCCTTTGAAAACTAGGTCCTTCACACTGAGCTACTTCTCCGGTGTTTATTACTATTTTAATTGTTTAATATGTGTGTGATACACAATGTTTTATGTTCTTTGTGGGGAGTTTGTACATGTATATAACACATGTCAAAAATCTTTTGTTTAGCCCCCCCCCTTTTTTTTTTGTTATTTTGAGACAGGGTTTCACTAAATTGCTCTAGCTGGGCTTGAACCCGCAGTCATCTTACCTTAGCTTCTCAGAGTGTTTGAGTTACAGACATGTACCAGTTAACAATCCCCTTTTCCTCTTTTTTTTTTTTCTTTCAGAACCGAAGATTGAACTCAGGCCCCTGCGCTTGCCAGGCAAGCACTTATTCCACTGAGCCATCTCCCTGGCCCCCCTTTTTCCTCTTGATAACTTTGTTTATGAAATGTTTCAGAGGGGCGGGGAGATGGCTCATAGGATAAGCGCTTGACTGGCAAATGCAAGGATCTGAGTTCAATCCCCGGTTCCACTAAAAAAAAAAAAAAAAAAAAATGTTTCAGAACTGTGTTCTGTTCTATGGTTTTTGTTTGGCTTTTTTTTTTTTTTTTTTAGGGAAGGTTCTACAGGGTGTTCAGGGTCTCACTACTAGATGGGACTCCTAGTGATCTGCCTGTTTACAGCCTCCCAAGAGTTGGGATTACAGGTGCACGCCACCATTCCCAGTGTTTTTGTTTGGCATTGTATTTCCTGGTTTTGTTGCTTTATTTTATTTTTGTCTTTTTGAGATAGGGTCTTGCTGTGCAGTTTATGCTGGCCTTGAAGTCACTTTGTAGCCCAGGTTGGCCTTGAACTCACTGCTACCCTTCTACCTCAGCTTCTGGAGTGCTGGGATTACAGGCATGCACCACTGTATCTGGCTGTTGCTTTGGTTTTGTGGTATTTTTTTTTCTTCCTCATTGAACTGCCCAGGCAGGGCTCAAATTTGTTATCTTCCTGATGCAGCCTCCTTACTAGCTGGGATTAAAGATTTGTGTCAACACATTGTGCTTAATGCTTTTTATGTTATTACATTTTTAGTTGATTATTCTTTTTATGTAGAAACACTTGATTTTGGAGGGTTGATGTTATATTTGGTAACTTTGTGGGGCTATCTTGCTTAGTTCAGTATTGATACTGATTCCACTGTGTTCTCAGAAACATCTAGCTCCTGCTCCTCCTGCCTCAGTCTGAACAGTGGCCAGGATTGTGTTAAACATTAGCCTTGTAGGTATATTCCTATGTTCTTGATTTGATTATTGACTGGCTGTACTGAGGATTGTACTGGTCTCTCTATGTAGTCCAGGCTGATCTTGAACTCACTGTGTAGTCCAGGTTGACCTCGAACTTGAGGCAGTCCTCCTGCCTCAGCCTCCTGAGTGATGGGTTTATAGGCCTATGCACCATGTCCAGCTTCCAGGTTGGGCTTTTTTGTTGTTGTTGTTGGTTTGTTTTTTGAGAAAGTATGTTACTAAATCAGTAAGTTGGGCCGGGGAAATGGCTCTGTAGAATAAGTGCTTCCCTAGCAAGCACAAGAGTCTGAGTTCAATCCCTGGTTCCACCAAAAAAAAAATAAATAAATAAATAAAATAAAATAAATCAGTAAGTTGCTTGGACTGGGCTTGAAACTGGAATTCCTCTGCCTCAGCTTCCCAGGGTGCTCTTATTATAGGCATGAAGCTGGCTAGGTTTTTTGTTTTGCCTACAATTGTACTAAATGTTGGGTTTCTTTCTTTTCTTTTTGAGACAGGGTCTCATTATGTAATTCAGCTGGCCTTTTGCTCACTTTGTAGCTTGGTCTGATCTTACACTCTCAGTGATCCTCCTGCCACAGCCTCCCAAGTACTCAGGTGTGCACCACACCTGGCTGTTTCTTTTGTTTTTTTAATAGTCTTGCTATGTAGTTCAGAGTGGCCTTGGACTCACTATGTAGCTCACTAGGCTGGCCTCGAACTCACAGCAGCTCTACGTCTGCTTCAGGAGTGCTAGAATTGCAGTATGGGCTACCACACCTGGTAAATTTTTTTTTTAAATGTATTTAGTACAGGGCCTATAGGATCTCACTACACAGATCGGACTCGTAGTGATCCTCCTGTTTGCAGCCTCCCATGGGCCGGGATTACAGGCACGTGCCCCCACTCCCAGTTTCATTCGCTGTCTCAGCATGCTCTGGGGCCAAGACTGGCACGGCACACCAGGGATTGAACACCGGTTCCTGTGTCTGCTGAAAAAGCAAGTGCTTTAATCAGCTGAGCTATGTGGCTGGCCCTGGCAAGTGTTGGGTTTCAAAACTTTTTTTCCTGCACCGAGTGTGATACTCATCTGATATATTTGTTTGCTTGCTTGCTTGCTTGCTATGTTTTTCCTTATCAGCATACT